ATTCCCTCCGATATTAGCTGGGCCAGAAGTGTGAGTTTTGGAGAATGATCACTGTTTCCTAACTATCCAGGATCATGTTGAACGATATCTCATGGACCATTAGAGCTTGCTCTATCCAGGACAGTGGTTGGTGATCTTGAGGTAGGGGTGGTTGAATGAAGAAGATCGTTTGGTTTCCTATCTGAGTGTTCAAGTTTGGTGGAGGATTGGCTATTGTGTGTGCTCGTTGGTATCTTAGAATTTGGACAAGTCTAAACCTTCTCCTTTGAGATATTGGTATTCTTGGCATAGTTATTGCTGGAGTATTGGTTTATATTATCTATAGGGGCTAAGTTGGTGGGAGAGGAAGGGATTTGAGTGTAGAATTAGATAGGGTGGTAATGATTGGATCTATTTGCATGCGTTGGTTGCTTGTGCAAGATGAGATTTTAAAAGGATTTGGAGTAGTGATAGGGCTAGGAACGTGTTGGTCTTCATTGGCCAATTGTGCAACCAAGATGTTATTGTGGGACAGGTGTTGTGGGGCACCATCTTCATCCATGCAACTAATATCATTATTATTGGAGATATTAGGGGAGTTAACTCCAGGGATTAGAGGATTTTTAGTACTTTGTTGATGAGTATTGTGTGTGGGTTTAGTCTTGTTATTATCGTTAGTAGGTAGCTTAGGCAATTGCATGTTAGATAAGCTAGTCTCCTTCACGAAGGACACGTAGTCATTAGTAAGGTTATTTGAAGCCACGTCAGAAACTTTTAAGCCTAAAATCATTTTTGAATTAAGAATTTCTTTTTTATCCAATTCCATCGGCAGATTCTCCAAGGAAACAAATTTGTTTCCCCTGGTAACGTGCTCTTGTGTAGAAAGATTATTATCATTAGTGATGATCTTTGCTTTGAACTTGTTTTGGTTACTAGGGGAGTTATAGTTGGTATTAAGGTAATGAGTAGAAGACTTACCCGGTATTCCATGTGGAAATTTAATGATTATACCTGGCTTTTGGATTACCTCGTTCCCTCTCCCATTGGCTCTCTTTTTCTTGGTAAAATTAACCGTCTGCCACACTTCTCCACTGATTTCATGGGCATTGTTGCATTCATTTGGTTGGGGAGTTGTGTTGTTTGGTAATGTGGTTGGCACAGTTGGCGTAGTCTTTTTAATTTGGCACTTTGCAGCCACATGACCTAGCCTTCCATAACTTTTACATAAGATTTTGTCGCCCTCATATTGAACATATTTCTTGTGACTACCAATATGGATAAAAGGAATAACAGGCTCCTCTAATGGCAATTCCATACACAATCTTGCATAACGACCTCTTAGGGTAGAGGATGTACAAGCATCAATTTTAATAATCTGCCAATGGTATTACCAATTTTCTCTAGTATATACCATCGTAGAACTCGGTTGGCAATTGTGGTAAGCGGACCCATACAGCTGTTAGTGAATTATCAGCTTCCGTTGCTACATAATTTGGTTTCCACCGCTGGACTGAAAGAAGTTACCAAATATAAACCTCGGACCTTAATGTAGTACCTTAAACATGTGTTCTGCACAATTGAATTTAGTAATATAATAGTATGCCCCTAGATCAATTAAAGGGAAGTTCTCTGGGATTTTCCAAATTTCTTGTATTTTCCTTTTAAGAAGATGGTGTTAGACTCTTTTACCATGAAGTTTGATAATGACTGAAAATTTCCATGGTTGATAGATGCGCTCTTGTTCTTCCAATTAAAGATGGATTTGGTGACCTCCAATAGAACTTGTGTTTAAGAATGGCGGGCTTTGAAGGGGTGTGTACATTAATTAGTGTACCATGCTCGCCTGCTATTAATTTGTCTTTGAAACTTGGACCAGGTTTACAAGGATTTGAGTTAGTAAATTTTGAATCTATGTCTGGTGTCTTGGTTGTGGGATTTGGCATGATTGGCTTGGATTTTCCATAGCTACTGGAGTAGGTTATAGCAAGTGCAGTAGACTTTTCTTGTTTAGTGAGAGGCTAGAGAAATTTCTGTTCTACATTTTTTGACAAATGAAACTATGATATTGTCAGATTTAATCCATTTTTATAATCTTCATAAATCTACTAAGAAATTAGCGATGTTCCTTATAAATAAAGATAACATTTAAAATATATTAAGTAATCAAAGTTGATACTTCAAATTTACATTTAAAATGTTGCCTAAAAAAGAACTTTTTGCTACTTTTGTTTTCAACACTTTCTTTTGTAACGACCCGACCGGTCGTTTTAAGCTTTTGGACTTTGATCGCCTGTTCTCGGGCATGACTTGCCCCGTGTAATGTATTATGACTGATGTAGATCGTTGGTTTTGATTTTCAGGGAAAATCGGAATGAATTTGAAAGAACAGCCTCAGTTGAAAGCTTTGAATTTGAAAGGTTTGACCAAGAGTTGACTTATTTGTATATGAGCTCGGGTCGGAGTTTTTATAACTTGGTTAGCTTCGTCGGGTGATTTATGACTTAGGAGTGCGATCGAAATGTATTTTAGAAGTCCGTGGAAGGATTTGGCTCGAATTGGCAAAGTTAGCATTTTGGCGAATTCCGGTTGATAGGTGAGATTTTGATCCGAGGGTCGGAAGTGGATTCCGAGAGTTTTTGTAGCTTCGTTATGTCATTTGTGATGTTTGTGCAAAATTTCAGGTCATTCGGACGTCGTTTGGTTGGATTTTTGATCAAAAGCGTGTTCCGGAAGTTTTAGAAGAACTTAGGCTTGAATTCGATGTGAATTGATGGTTTCGATGTTGTTTGAGGTGTTTTGTTGATTGAAACAAGTTTGAATGATGTTTTAGGATGTGTTGGTACTTTTGGTTGAGGCCCCAGGGTCCTCGGGT